ATGGAACATACAACTTTCCTCTAGTTCCTAAATGCTTCCTCCTCACCCACTATCATGATCCCAATTCTTCCTTACAAATCTGGCTAAACCAGAGAATGTACACTGGTACAGGTAGAAACTGGAAACACAGGGAATCCAGGACAGATGATCCCTTCAGGACCAGTGGTAAGAGTGCCGATACCGGGAGGGTGGAGGGAGGGTAGTGTGGAAAGGGGGAACCGATTACAGGGATGTACATATAACCTCCACCCAAAAAGTGGGTGAAGAGAGATGTCGGACAGTGTAAGATATGACAAAATAATAAGTTATAAATTTTCAAGGGTTCATGAGGGAGGGGTATCAGGGAGGGAGGGGGAAAATGAGCTAAGGCCAAGGGCTTAAGTGGAGAGCAAATGTTTTGAGAATGATGAGGGCAACGAATGTACAAAAGGCTTGACACAATGGATGGATGTATGGATTGTGATAAGAGTTGTATAAGCCCCCAGTAAAATGCTTTTTAAAAAAGGACAGCCCACAGTGCAACTTTCTCCTTGCCTCTTTCTCACCAGTGGAGTTTTCCGATTTCTGATCATTTCTTCATAATATGACCTCCTGATAGTCCTCTGTCCTTGAGAAAATCTATCAAAACTCCCCCTTTGGAGTCCCCCAAAACAGTCACTATAACTTTGAGCTGACTTCTCTGCCTTGAATTTCTCTGGCCTAGCAGATCTTCTCAGACACTTATTTGGATGAGACCTTTTTTGAAGGGATCCTATTGACACTAGGACAAGTGTATTATGGAGAACTTGGGTGCAGCCATCCATGTTTGATTTAGAACAAACGTGTGTGTATGTGTCTGTGCACATGTGCTAGACCCTTAGCAGCAGTACTTTTTAACTGGAATTTCAGTGTCTTGTCTAAACTGGGTACAGTCCTAGGTAGACAAGGTGAGCACAAAGAGAGAAGGTCCGAGGTGCAGCTCCCTCACTCATTTTCATTACAGCATGTCAACATCTTTAGTACTTTGACCATCCTTGACTTACAGTTTTTGCTTTTTAAGCTTCAAAGAAAAAATAACCATCTCAAGTTATGTTTAATATCATTACTTGTGTTATTTACCAGGTTGCATTTCCTGGAGCAGGGAAACTTCCCCACATCATCGGAGGCTCAGACCTAATTGCCCATCATGCTCAGAAGAACACGGAACTAGAAGAGTGGCTGAGGCAGGAAATGGAGGTGAGTAGGAAATAGTCAGAGGTGAAGCCCAGAAACCTTCTTGAATTGCATTTTAGTTCCTCATGGTCTCCTGAGAACAGTTTCTTAAAACTAAGCTTTGGATAAGTGACTGAAGATCATTCAGGAAAATGAAGATTAATTTGTACCATTCTATGATCCTTCTCTAAGGGAGCTCTAGATTTATTTTGCCAATGAAAAGTATATGTGTATAAAATGAAAACTAAACTTAGTCATGTATGTTTCTTAATGTAAAGGAAAAGTAAAGTCTACAAAATTAATAAAGGGTAAAAGATGGGCATACAGTCACATCAAGGTCATTACAAGTTTATCAATCATATACTATACACCTGGTAGCTATATATAATCTTACAAGTGGTATTGACTTTCAAAATCTGGAAATTTTCATTTTGTAATTCTGAACATTTCTCATCATTTTCTCAAATACACCCGCTACTCACCTGTCAACATGATCAGGTTCCAAAGACCCAAGTTGTTAGGGCAAAAGTCAGCAGTCAGTGAACACGGAAGGTGACCACGTGTGCTGAAGAGTGGAGAAGGACTGCACCGGTGCTTAACTGCTCAGCCCCTGGGAGAGCCTTTTGCTGACTGGAAGGATCAGCTTTTTACTCAGGTCACAGATGCAAAAGGTTGCATCACAAGATAGTTGATAAGTGAAGAGTAGCTATCATGATTTTTGCCTGCTTTATCTTTTCTGGAACTTCAATTTGACATGAAGTTAAATCTCACTTTCTCCTTGCTGTCCTTTATTCTATATGTTTAGTCTGTTTTCTTTGTAGTTTCTTCAAAATGTCTTTTTTTCTTCAAAATGTATCATTCATTCTTTTAAAATCTTTCCTGCTGATACCTTCAGCTCCTGCTTTATGTCTTCAAAAAAAACTCTTTTATGTCTTTAAGTATATTAAACAGTTTTTAGTCTTTGCCTGAAAATACCAATACCTAAGGTCAATGGATCTGTTTCTGCTCGTGGTTTTCTAATCATCTCATCTTTTTTTTTTTTTTTTTAACATTTTATTAGGGGCTCATACAACTGTTATCGCAATCCATACACACATCAATTGTGTAAAACGCATTTGTACATCATTCTCGGGTACTGCAAGCTCATTACTGTGTACACCCAACACGGAGCGGATGCTCTAACCTAGTTTCCTTTTCACAGGTGCAAAATCAACATGCAAAAGAAGAGTCTCTTGCTGATGATCTCTTCAGGTAAAGTATAATGTCTGCTTTCTCAGATACCTTAGAGAAATGTATATAACGTTCATGTCTATTGGTTTTGTTACGTTCTATCGGGTCACTTCCCACTCACAACCACCCTGTGCCCAACAGAAACACTACCAGCCTCGCACCAGCCGCACAACCATTTCTAATCGCAGAGACTGTGTGTGTCTCCTTCTCGTTAAGAGAGACATTGTCCCTTCACCTAAGGGGTGTGGGGGGGATGGGTTTGCTTTTATCACGTGTCTTGTTTGCTCTTTGAGTACCTTTTCTTTGGGCTTACTGGGTATGGCCTTGAGGTTTGGGATGTACTCAGTTTTGCTGAATCAGAGTCCTCAAAATGTGTACGGGGGCATTCTGCCAAAAGAAGTTCCTGGGCTGGATTAACTTGGCTGTGTGTGTGGCATTTTCAGCATTAATAGGATCCTGATCGGACGGGCTTTTGAATTAAGAAAGTGAAATGCCAGACCATTTGCTTTGTTTTCATTGGTGCATGCATGACAACAAATGGCTAGATTAGAATTTCAAAGCAGGTTTCTGTGAGATGTTTCAGAGGCCTAATATCGATTGGGTAATTATAACTTCTGATTTATTTTCAGCATTCCTGCAGGCTTAATATACCTCATAACAACTTATATCTGAGTATATTAGGTAAATCATGGCTAGGGGAAGATAACATTTTCAACTTATATAAAAATAGAACTACGACATATAGTCATACCTCAGAGATGATGCGGCTGGGTTCCAGACCACTGCAATAAAGCAAGTCACACACATTTTCTTGGTGTCTGATACCTATAAAAGTTATGTTTATACTATATTGGAATGTGCAATGGCATTTTGAAATGTTACAATTAAGAAAATGTGACACAGGCATGAAGTTAGTCCATGTTTTGGGGGTGGAAAAGCGCCAATAGACTTGCTTGACGCAGGGTTGCCAGGCAACAGGCAATATCTGTGAGCCGTAATACAGTGAAGGGCAGTAATGCAAGGTGTGCCTGCACTACATTTTTTTAATGTGGTAGTTTGATTCCCTGATTTCATTTTTGGTGATATGAATTACTGGTGAAGATACTAATATTAAATTTTTTCCATAAGTGGTCAAATGAGAATAGTTCCTCAGCCCCATGTGGTTCTTTGCTTTAGGAGAAATTTTTGTAAAATGGTCATTATATTTTAGATTCATAATGTTCTTTTGTGCAAGTGCTATCTACTATTTTGTGTGTGTGGAATCAAAACTAGAAGTATAAATACATGTGAAATTTGAAGCTACTACTTTTGCTTACGTATTTAGTGCTATATAGGAATTTTGTTGTTGTTACATTTTGTTTTTCCCAAGTACTTATCAAGGGGAAAGAGAAAGGATAATGGCAGTGCTTACTCTCTGTTTAAAGACCCAAATGGCATTCTCATTCCTGTTTCCCAAAAGAAGAGACTCTGGTTTGAAAGCCTTTTAACTTTAAAACTGAAACGGAAATGCCATTTATCTAGATGTCATTTGACGCCATCTCTCTGGTTGCAGATACAATCCCAATATGAAAAGGAGAAGATAACAGCATTTGTACAGAAGACGTGGAGAAACATTTCCTGGCAAGCCGTTACTTCTTGCTTCCTGGGGTACATGAACATAGTGTATAGAAGTTGAAATGACAAATATTGAATGGCCTGCATTTATTAAATAAAATATACAAGATTCTAATTTTGTGTGTGTGTCAAGGCCCATTGCTTGTTCTGTTTTCAGATTTGGTCATCCTATCTTCATGGTAAAAAATGTTTTATTTTCAGAGTTTTTAATTTTTCTTAATTCATCATTATGAACTAATCTCATGCTTAGTATACACTCTTCTTCACACGCTTTTGCTTATAACCTATCGCTAGCTTTCTCTGTAATTGCATGAATTGCTTGATGTGTAGCGTTCAGAGGGAGAGGTGAGAAAGTGATCAGCGTCAGCTGCCCCGTCTGACCCCTAGAGGGCGAAGTCATACTACGTGCCGCCACTTACCCTTTTCTCCAGTTCTCTCAGGACCCTCACTCCCCGCGCCTCTTCCAGACGCAATCATTCCTTGAAATGGCACAGAAGTCAAGGAAGTAGCAGATTGCAATGCAAGATCAGGAAGAGTCGAGAGAGAGTTCTTCAATCAGGACAGCGGCCTCTTAGCAGTACCCACAGGCACATATCTCTCTAGTCTTCAGCCCCTAGACCTAGCCCCCTACCCTGGTCAGATAAAGTTACAAAGCTTTTAAAACTCTGCTAACAAGTGTTCAGAGCTTCCTCCTCCTCACAGCTTTCTCCATTCACAAGCCAGAGAGCCCACTTTTCTGTCTCATGCCAGATTCCGTTCAGCTGCCACCATTATCTGTCACTGCTTCTCATCATGTTGTGTCAGAATTCTCGTTTTTGGATTGAGGCGGTTCTCAGCACAGGGACCAGGGGCCCAAAGGCTGTACTCTGCTCCGGGCTGCTCTTTCTTGGGAGTTGGGTGAGGTCCTCCTCCATTTCCAGGATGATTCATTTTAAGCCTTGCAGGATGGCAAAAGGGCCAACCCTCATACACCTGTCTTCATGCTCACACCACTACAAAGGTGCCATGCCCCTTAGTTACATTAGTAGTAAGCTAGCCAGTACTGTGAGACAAGCACCTCCTATTTGCATGGTCCTACCCAGTTATTTAGTGGGACTTAAAAGACTAAAAGGACCATACCAAGTAATTCAAAGCACCACATTGGTAAACAACCTATTGCTGAAGCTTGTTTCCAGTTTGATAATCTTTAAATTGGTGGGGCTTAGTCTATGTCTGTTATATAATTATTGACATGGTTCTGTGGGCGTCGCCATCTAGTTTTCTATTTGTCCTGTCTGGTCATTATTTCATTTTCCCTTCTTCTGCCTCCATTTGAATTAATCCATTATAGCACTCTATTTTACCTTTTTTTTTTAGTATGTCCCATAAAGATGTGCAGCCTCATCACAACCTTTAATTATACCATTGTATGTACATGTCTTATAAAACTATTTACTGTTTTTGTTGCTGTTATGTATTTTACTCCTGTATGTCCTAAATCATACACATTTTTATCCATGTTTTAAAGTATTTTTATCTTATTGTGAAGTTTTGAATGGCCCACAGGCTTTTGGATAATGAGACGTCATTGCATTTCCTGCTAGTCACATTACTTCATAGACATGTTTGATCTGGTGTCACACACCTTCAACATGAACATCCTCAAAGCAATCTTGTAGTACAACTCTCATGGTAACAAATCTTCCCGATTTCATTTAACCCCAAAATGCGTCTTACACTTCACCTGTTTTTGAAGTATTATTCTCACTAGAAAATATGACAGGGTTATAAAAGAAATTGTTGCACCATCTTAATTTTTTCCTGGTCCATTTTTCATTCATAGTCTTTCTTCCTCTGGCAGCTTTAAAATTTTGTCCATCAATTTGATTGTGATGTGCATGGTGTGTTTTATATTTATCCCGTTATGAGGTTCTTAAATAGAAGGTGTTCAGCTAAGTCTCACTGGTCAGAATTCCAGTGGCTTCCAGAACTGTACAACCTCCAAAATGTCCATTCCGTTCCTAACCCTCATTAGGCAATCTCTGGTAAGGATTATGGTTTCGCTCTCTCCAATCAGTTTAGCAAGGAGCCCTTGTGGTATGGAAATCAAATACTTGCTGCTAACAGGTTGGAGCTTTGAACTCCCCAGCCTCTCTACAGGAGAAAAGACCTTGCCTACAGCCTAGGAACCTCCGTGTCACACAATTTTTAGTTTGGTATACAGATCTAAATAAATCTTCGTGCAAATTTCTGAAACTTGCTCCTGTCCAATTTCCTGCCTTACAAAGTCCAGCTCTCTGCAAACTTGTTTTTCTACACCTGGAGACTAAGATGGAGTCTGACCCAAGTCATGGTATTAGTCGGCCGCATCCTATGCCTGCAAAGCTGGACAGTAAGACCGGATAATCAATTGTCTGAATTGTAGACTAGCGGAGAAAGCAAACAAAATCTTGTCTTGAAAGTAGAGCCATAATGCTCCTTAGAATTGATGGCAAGGCTTCATCTGGCATACTTTGGACGTTATCAGAACCAGTCCCTGGAGTACATCCTGTTTGATCAGCTAAGAGGAATATTCTCAAGGATTCAAACAAAGATTATGAAGCTGGCACAGGACGTCTGACAATGGTGAGGAGCATCCCGGATTAATTTTGTTGTCCGGAGCAATGCTATGAGTCACAATGACTTGGCCACACCTACCAAAAGGCATCTGCTGGTCTTGGTGTGGGGTAGACTTCCTGTGTTCCAAGTGCCGTCAGGCAGAAGTCAGGATTATGGAGCTCACTGCCTACTCCTTTAAAAATCATTCCTGGATTTTATAATGATGGAAAATTTGGCTATATTAGTGATACTGGATTATACATGCAAAGAAAGGTGGACTGACAAATTTTCTCTTTAAAATTAAAACTTTATCCTGGGTTGTTGTCTAGTGCCTGAAAATACTGTTTTACATATTTTTTAGGTTTATACCTGATCACTGTGAAGGGTAAATTCAATTCTCATTACTCCATCAAGATTTGAGCCAAAAATCTTTTCGTTGAAGTTTTTTTTTTAATCGTTTTATTAGGGGCTCATACGACTCTTATCACAATCCATACATACATCAATTGTGTAAAGCACATCTGTACATTCATTGCCCTCATCATTCTCAAAACATTTAATCTCCACTTAAGCCCCGGGTATCAGGTCCTCATTTTTTCCCTCCCTCCCCCCACTCCCCTCCCTCATGAGCCCTTGATAATTTATAAATTATTTTGTCATATCTCGCCCTGTCTGATGTCTCCATTCACGCACTTTTCTGCTGTCCATCCCCCAGGGAGGAGGTCACGTATAGATCCTTGTAATCGGTTTTTTCGTTGAAGTTTTTATGGCTTTTCATCATTTTTTTTCTCTCCTTGCTCTTTCCCCAAAGGCAGATTTTTTCCCTTATATACCTGGGAGGGTGAATTAATTCAAGACCAACACATTGGCAGTTTAATCCTTATTCCACAAATTCTTCTCAGGCTAGTGGTCTGAAACCTGGATTTCTTTCATCTCTAGAAAATGGGTTTTTTAGACTACATGACTACATCTGATCAAAATAGCTTTACACAATAATCTTTGCAACAAAGTTAAACTTTCAATTATTTTAAATTTTATTTTATTCTCAGTTTTGCTGAGGCTGGTACTTAACACAAGGTTAAGAATTTTCATTTTCCAGTAAGTAGATATTTTAAAACATGGATCACAGGTTCCCAAAATGATTTGGCTGACCACCAGTTTCAGAAAAAAATTAATCAGTGCTCCCTGACAATTAAAAACTTATACTATAGCCCATACTCCAGGATAATGTATGGGTATCTGCTTTTGTACCCCTGGGGATCATTCCAGCGCCCTTCAGGGGGTAGAAACATTCATTTACATAGTAAAGCCCTGAAGATTTTCAAAACTGAAACATAGGCATTAAGTCCACAGATACTGTGTAAAATACTGAGAGAGATCAGTAAACTTGTTTCTGTCTCATCATTGTAAGAATTCTAAATTGACTCTCTGTAAACATACCTTCAACAATACTGGGTATGGATTTTGCCAGATACTGTGCTGGCTTTTAAGAGTAAAGTGCTATGGGGAGCAGGAGGAAGGACTGGCCCACAGCATAATAAAGCTCACCAGACAATTATGATCGCCAATAAACTAAGAATTAACGCTGATAAAATAAGACAAAGACAATGAAAACTGGGTCCACCTTTTTTAATTCTAAGAAAAAATGGAAAATTAAATGTTCAATGAAGACATTCCAGTAGGAAATAAATTTCACCAAAAGAAAAATGAATAAATTCAATTTACCATGAAGAAACTCAATTACAAGGTTGGTTTTTTGTTTTGTTTTTTAGTTTAACACTAAAAAAATTACAGGAATGTGTGTGAAAATACAGAGATTAAGCACATCTCAATAATCAAGGTAATGAAAGTAAGTATGTAATACATACCCATACGTGACTTGCTTAATCATCTCCAATGAAAATACTCTGGATAGAGTTTTCTAAATGCTGACATCATTGGGAATGAAGAGACAGGTTTTAATCTCATTTTCACATCTCACCTTTAGAAATTCTGGCAATGCCAAACAGTATCAGGAGTAGTATTTGCTGTGCCCAAATATCTTAGTGATCATCATCAGTGCTAGATCGACCTGAACTCCCTGGTCACACAGGAATAAGCAGTTCCATCAGCAGCTTATTGAATTGCAAATCAGAGTAATTAAATGTTACAGTGGCTAGAAAAGAGTAAAGCTCCAAAAAACCATTCTGGCTTTGGCTGGTCCTCTGATATCAGCATATGCCAACATTAGACTGTTTAAATGATCGGACGCAAAGAATGTGAAGTTCCTGTCAAGGTTTCAGCAATAAAAATCTTTTTAAAAAAAGACCATTATATTGATATATATATATATATATTAATTTATACAGTTGGTAATTTCAAAATAAATAAGACCTGAGTTTTCAATGCCCTATACCCATCCCTGACCAACCCCCAGCATACATATCTTACATACCGGTTTTCTTTTAGCTCTGTGTGTTCCAAACGTTAAGGTGCATAGAAACCACAAGGGGACACGTTCAAATGCAGATTTTGATTGGATGATCCTGTTGTGGGGCCGGAGACTGCATTTCCTAACTAGCTACAGATGAAGCTGACGTGGTTGGTCCTTCAAAGACCCTTAAACCAAATGAAACACTTTCTGGCCTAATGACTCTGTGGTTTTAATATTTTAGATTCAAACATTATAATTTAAAAAAAAATCAGAAATCATAAAAAATAAGTCTTGGAAGAAAAGAAAGTTTTTAGTTAAGTGAGAACATAAAGCAAACCACTTGGCAGTGTTTTAACTGTCTGACAACCTATGATCCATTACAGTGTCAACAGCACAGCAAGTCCTTTTAGCTTTAAGAAAATAACTACTAGAGCTTGACACTCTCGTCCCGGCAATTCAGGTCCAGAAAAGCCATCTCAGTACACTGTACAACCACTATATTAATCATTTAAAAGAAAACTGTCCATTAATTACCTGTTCACGGGCTTTAAGCTACCCCATCTCCTCCTCCTCTTTCAACAATAAATGCTTTTTCTTCTGTCTTGTAGCTAAACAGTGTGTAACACCTAGCGCCCCTCCTTTTAAAAATCTAACAAAATTGTCCCCAACCAAAGGGCCCAATGCAAAAAGATTGGCCTCTCTAACACATTCATAGGTATATGCGTCTATTTCTACTGGGTTACCCTTACATGTAATTGGCTGGCTTGAGTTATGGCCTAGGTAAGATCCTTGCTCCTTCAGAAAAGATAGATTAGGATGAGAACCTATCAGTACCACTGCTGCAGAAAGCTTAAATATTCTCTTCAATCCAGATGCACTCTGAAGAATGCATTTCATGTCCGGCGTAAAGGAACGCACATGGTGCTCGGGAAAACTGGTATAATCAGATAAATTTGAGTCTCCAGAATACAACTGCGTACACATCATATGGTACACTTTGTGGTACTCAGGATAAAGCTTTTTAGGAAGCTGTTTGAAAATTAAGCTTGGATCAGCTACTCTTCTGCGAAATGCGTGGATCACAGGAATATTGTTGTTGTAAGCACACAGTACTGCATCAGCTGCAGTAAGCCCCGAACCTACAATTAACACAGGATCCACTTTGCCACGCAACTTCCCTTTGCTTACAGCTGCTCCAAATTCAGGCATTGAATGAAAAACAAAAGGAAAATCTTCTCCTTCAACTTCCAAGTGGGCAGGAGAATCCAATGTGCCGGTTGCCAAAGCTACATTCTCAGCAAAGAGACAGAAGGGAGCATGAGACCCATCGGCTATCCGCTGATAACCCCTGATCTCCCAGTTTCTCTTAATAAAGGATGACTTCTCTATCTGCAAATGCCTTGCGGAGATATCTCTGTCTTGACCATCATTATCAGCCTGATCTCTGTAGAGTCTTGACACAGAGGTTATGTACGTATTCTCTCTGAAATTCTTCTGAAGACCCATAACTTTCACATAATGTTTATAGTAGCGAGCTATTTCCTCTGGCATTACTCGATCCCCTTTTAAGTTCCTTCAAAAGAAAGAGGAAAAATATTCTTGTAAGGATAGTCTTTCAGTTTCTACAATTGTTATTTCTCCATAGTTACACTTCTCTATCTTTTTACTTCCTCTGGATTAACTCTCAGCTACAAATTAGAATCACAAGCTTTTTTTTTTCTTTCCTTAATTTAAAAATATCAGTGAATTAACTTTATCAAAAGAGAACGTCCCCGGAGGGCAGGAGCTGTATTTAGCATAAGTTTCTGCAGTGCCTTACATGGTGTCTGCTCAAAATACCTTGATAACTTTTCACTAAGTATAGAAACTAAACTTATAGCTGTCTGAAAACCAGAATGTTGAAAATCATTTAGATCCTTACTGTGGGCTGTTAGATATCTATGATACATAAACTTCCTAAAGATTATATATACCTTCTTGGAAAGATTTTTGGTAACCTCTATTTTCCTAGGGACAAAAAAATAACTCCAATCAACATCTTCTGCTGAACCAAAGGATTTTACATCTAAGAAATTATGATAAAATATTTGTGTTCTTCTCTTAAAAAGACCTAAAACTATAATTATTTTATGAAACCAAATGGTGCTAATGAAGCTTTTATTTTCCATTTGTACACTCCGATAGCAAGCATTAGTGCTCCTCAGTACTGTGCTCCAATTAGGACCAGCAGTTGCAGAAGCAAGTGATTTGTCTTGACGGAATGCAATGTAACTTGCAAATGGAAGAAGTCCATATATTTCTTTCTAAATTTAATGGTGACTAACATTTAGATTGTGCTAATTCTTAGAGAAACTCCCATTTTACATTCTATGGGATGACTGCTCGTTTCGATTATTTGCCTGAGGTCACAAACTCCAAAGTTTAGAAAGTCAGGTTCGAAACCCTACCAATCTCTAGTGACTGGTCTGCTCTGAACACCGCAAATGCCAGAACCAAAATAAAATACTTACTAAAAACTCATCTTCGCATACTGCTCTAATATCCAGTAGGCACACTTTAGAAAGATGAACACTTAAGTACATAAATATAGTATTTCCTCGCTTAAGAGGAAAGAATGTATTGAGCAACTTTGTTTACTTATAAAAATAAAGAACTTGTACAATTTGCCTGATTTTGCAACCTTAAGTTTCAAATTCATATGTAAGTCCTATAAAAAGTAGTTACTGAAGGGCAATGAATGTACAAATGTGCTTTACACAATTGATGTATGCATGGATTGTGATGAGTTGTATGAGCCCCTAATAAAATGACTAAAAGAAAAATAGTTAATGAAGTTTTGGGGTAAGACAATCTTAACTATTCAAGCTAGTCTAAATTAGGCCTTCTCAATTAAGCAGAATTTGTGTACATTAATCTGGTGTCTAGCAAAATGTCAGCATTCAAATGTTATATCTCTTTTTCAACAAAGGTTAAGTAATTTCCTGTTTCACTGTTTCTATGAGTAGGCAAAAATAGAATACATTCTCTGTATTAGTAACTCCTATCTAATATTTACCATGTTTGAAAATATTAGGGCTTTTCCTTTTTTTATATTTTAGGTTCTTTTCCAAAAACAAACTGGTATTCTTTCAAACTGAGATTTATTGTTACTTCTTTCATATTTATTAAATATTTGCTACCATAAAGTAGTCAATTCCATATTCCTACTTAACCATATTTCAGACTTATTCCATCATTCTAAATAATTAATCATATACTCTTCTATCCTCAAAGTCAAACACTTTAAATATGTACGTCGGAGATATACATACATGACCATCTTTAGAAAATCCCTTACACCACTTTGTTTAGTTTCAAAATACCTCTAAATAGAATCTAGCTTATTACGACCACTGCTGCGAAGAGTTTTTATTTGTAAGAAATGGAGACTTTTATTATTTATCTAAATATGATTGCTTCAATATTTTTGAAATTTACTCCATGCCGTCTTTTAATAAAGGCTGATCTTTACCTTCGTTTGCTAGACACCCAGTCCTTCAATGTCAGTCCAGGTAACTCCATCCAGTTTCCAAAGCTGATTGTTAACATGGAGCCTTCCATGTTCTTTGAGAATTAAAAAAAAATCACAATCAATAAATTTATTTAAGCAGTAATTGATTTCTCTTCACCAAATCATCCCAATTAGATAAGGCGTGCTAACAGCAATTTGAAATGATTTTATAAATTAACTCTAAAACTTGGTCCCCAAATAATGCTTTCATCATTTGGCTTGTTCAAAGGAACAGAGGCTTCTACATAAAGCAATGAGGAGTAAAGAAAGCATAGTAGTTATGAGTTGGGCTGTGATCCACCAAGATCAGTAGTTCAAAGCCACTAGTAGTTCCTTGGAAGAAAGATGGGGCTTTCTACTCCTGTAAAACTTAGTCTCAGAAACTCACATGGGCAGTTCTACCCTGTTCTATAGGGTGAATGGCAGTGAGTCTGCAGCAGGAGTGGTAGCTTCAGAAAAGAGCAAATTTTTAAGGAAGAGAACAGAAGCAGATGGTCAAAATAAGTAAGGATGCAGGAGAGCTATTTACCACTAACTGACTCAGGAGGACATAACTGGAAAGTTTTGGAAGAAGAGTGGTGAGAACTTAAATCACCACAGAGAGAAAGAACTACATGAGGATAAATATGAGAGATGACAGAGGATATAAGGAACTTAAGGAGCCCAGGTGGCACCAAGGGTTAAGTATTGGGCTGCCAATCAGCCACTGCAAAAGAGCCAGATGAGGCCTCTGCTGTCACTCAGAAATCCTCCAGAGCGACTCCGCTCTGCCACAATGGGCCTCTCCAAGGTGGAACTGACTCGTCGGCAGTGGGGTTTGTTTGGTTTGGGTTTTAAGGAGCTTCCATCTCAGATCGTGACCAAGGATATGAAGCAGGATAGGGGAGAGGGCTGCAGAAACATGTATACAGTTCTATAGGCAAGCACAGTAAGAGTAAGGCATGACATGCACGCACAAGTGGGAACAAATAATTAGGTTAGGAAGGTGATGTTAAACAACTGGATTGCAGCTCAAACATAACTTGTATTACTATTCTGGTGGCTACAATAAATGCATGAAAAGGTTCAGAAAGCTTTAGGTACATACCACTGATTCAAAGGTGTTCTCAGTAATCAACATTTATCTCTGTTTGCCCCGGTGGCACTGTGGCTATTCACTGGGCTGCAGTTCACAAAGTCTGCACTTTGAAACCATCCACTGCACCCAGAAGAAAGATGGGGCTTTCTACTCCCATAAAGAGTTACTATCTAGGAAACTCACAGGGGCGGTTCTACCCTGCGTCACAGAGTCACTGTGAGCAGGCATCGACGGTGGTAGTGAGTGACTGATATAAACGTGGGAGACACGGACTAACACAGAGCCTGCATATTGTTCTTTTACATTTTATCACCTGCATATTTTTAAGTTGAGATGTAATTGTAATTAAAATCTCATGAATTTAGAGGAGGTAATATAAAATCCTTAAAAAGATATGCATTCTGGCTTTTTCAAGAAATATAGTTTTATTAACAATGATACTATACAATAGAGTACATAGAAAGACGTATACTTAAAAAGTAAAGATATACCAATAGCTGTAACTTATTATGATAAAAGAAATTAAGATTAAAAATAGTGATGATTTAAGCACAATTCCCTATTGGCCCCAGTCATGTGATAAATATAAACAATTTTTTCAAGTATAACACTGTACTAATATAGAAATATGCAGCTGAAATTTGTACTCAAATTTTGAAATTTAATACAAATTAAAGTTTCCATGAAGTCTAAATTTTGACGAGTAAAAATATTTAACATTTCCCTACACAACAAACGAACATTCATTATCTGCTAGACACTGTGTTAACTACTGAACACAAGAGTGAAAACTACTGCCATTGACAGCTGGGTCTCAGAAACGCAGAGGGGCAATGCCACTCTCTCTGAAGGAGTTGCTATGAGTGAGTTGCTATGGCAGTGAGCTTGATCCCTTATTGAAATGCAATTGAATAAAACATTTATCAGCTCATCAGTTTAAAATATCTTTCTTTTACATGGTTTTCATTCAAGATTTTGAAAATGCAGGGGAATGGAAATATGAGATCTTATAATCTCTAATTTTAATAACTAAATTTTAAATGTTTTATTATACAAAGCATCCCTGTAATGTTTTCTATATCATTCTCATAAAAAACAGATCTCCCTACTCTAATGCTAAGTCAGTAATCAAATTTAGTTTGACTATTGTTGCTAGGAGGTGCTGCCAAGTTGGTTACGACTCACAAAGGAAAGCAGCATGCCCAGGCCTGTGCCAGCCTCACAAGTGTTCCTTCGCTGGAGCGCTTTCTTGCAGCCAGTGTTCAGCCAGCTTGTTGGGGGCCTTCCTTGTCTCGCTGCCTCATTACTTTACCAAGCCTGATAGCCTTCACCAGGGATTGGGCTCTCCTGATAACATGCCCAACTATGTAAGACAATCTCTCTCCATCCTTGCCTCTAAGGAGCATTCTGGCTGTACTTCTTCCAAGACAGATGTTAGTTCTTTTGGCAACCCACAGTACTTTCAATATTCTTCACCAGCACCACAATTCAAATGCATAAATTCTTCTTCGGCTCTTCTTATTCAATGTCTAACTTTCACATGCATCTGAAGTGACTGAAAATACCACGACTTGCGTCAGACACACTTTGGACCTCAATGTGACATTCTTGCCCTTCCACACTTTTAGGAGATTTTGTGCAGCTTAGTTACCCTATGTGATTAGGTTGTTTGATTTCCTGACTGCTGCTTCCGTGAGCACTGATTGTAGATCTAAGCAAGAAAAATTCTTTGACAACTTCATTTATCCCCCTCCATTTATCATGATGTTACCTATTGGTCCAGTTAGGAAGATTTTTGTTTTCTTGGTATAAAGCTGTAATTCATACTGAAGACTTGCAATCCTTGATCTTCATCAGCAAATGCAATCTTAGATTATCGCAAGTTAGTTTAACTACTACTAATAATTAGCCTATGTTTAACTAACTGAACTGCATAAAAATTCTCCTTATATAAAAACGTGGTAAGCATCGCACATGACAGCATTACCCTAATGCATAGGAATCAAGCTGATCGAATGAAGAGGACATATCATTTACATAGACGAAAATGTAAAGAAAAAGTACTCACGTGCCAAGCCCCACCAGGAGGACCTTTACTAAGAACTAAGTGAGGAATATAATGATGTTGTTCCAGTTTCCAATTCAAAACTGATGGATAATCATATCCAAAGTCAGCGTCTGGATGAAGAAGTGTGTCAAAAAGCACTGCAACGGGATTGGATGACCGGCCCTCAAGGCCTTCAGACAAATATTCTAAGTCCTAAAGTAAAATTTTAAAAAATAGGAGGGTTTGGGAGGTAAGAGTTTAGCAATGGCAAAAAAAGAAGAACAAACAGAGATGATAATAGTGAAAGTCACTAATCTAACCCAACATTTCCTTAAGATCTTAAGAGAGATTCTTCGGATGAATAAGGGAAAATGTTGAGTTTCAACAAAGCTAACTAGATGTTTTTATCACATAACTTTAAAAAGCCTTTAACATCTAGTGACACAGGCCAATAATAAAAAGCAGCATTTCCTCATACAACTTTCTCTAGTTCCTAAATGACTCCCCCCTCCCCCCTCACCGCCCTATCATGATCCCAATTCTACCTTACAAATCTGGCTAGACCGAAGGATGGACACTGGTACAGATAGGA